GCAGCCGTGTTAGTCTATATCCGCAAAAAGAAGAACAGGAGTACTTGTGGCACCTTAGAGACTAACAAATTGAAAGGGAAAGGTTGTCTCCTGACCTGGCAGGTTGATCATCTGGGAATACTCTATGGCAGGTGTGGGCAAACTACGGCGGGTGGGCTGGATCCGGGCCACCAGCCGTTTTAATCTGGCCCTTGAGCTCCCGCTGGGGAGCGGGGTCTGGGGCTTGCCCTGCTCTGGCGCTTCTGGGGAGCAGGGTCGGGGGCCACTCTGTGCAGCTCCCGGAAGCAGCGGCATGGCCCCGTTCCGGCTCCTACGTGTAGGGGCAGCCAGGGGGCTCCGCTCTGCACGCTGCCCCCACCCCAAGCACCACCCCTGCAGCTCCCATTGGCTGGGAACTGTGGCCACTGGGAGCTGCAGGGGCGGTGCCTGCGGACAGGGCAGCGCACAGCGCTGCCTGGCCGCGCCTCCTCATAGGAGCTATAGGCGGGAACATGTTGCTACTTCTGGGAGCCGCTTGAGGTAAGCACCGCCTAGAGCCTGAACCCCTGAGCCTCCCCCCACACCCCAACCCCCTGCCCCAGCCCTGATCCCCCTCCAAACCCCTCAATCCCAGTCCAGAGCCTGCACCCCTGGCCAGAGCCCTCCCCCCGCATCCCAATCCCAATTTCGTGTGCATTCATGGCCTGCCATACAACTTCTATACCCAGATGTGGCCATTGAGCCAAAAAGTTTTCCCATCCCTGCTCTATGCAGTGATGTGTCTTAGGGGCTTATATGATCCCCAGTCCCATAATATCTGAGCGCCTTGCAGTCTTTCATGCATCTGTCCTTGCAGGTAGGGAAATATTAATAACCATTATATAGATGGTGCACAGACTAAGTGACTTGCCCAAGGTTGCACAGGAAGTCTGTAGCAGAGCAAGGAATTGAACCTGGGTCTTCTGGGGCCTAACCACTGTGTGCCATTCCCCTCTCGGGGAGTCGGAGGTGAAGCCTCCAGTTATAGAGGGAACTGCATACCCGTTTTATTTCAGCTGTGATATCAAATCCTTTCTGTCCTGTGTGGACTCAGGGGATCCCGTAGCCCTTGATGTAGGAGATTTGTGAATGTTTCCCCTCCAGTCACCCCTTATGACTGTGCAGTGTCTTGTCAGGAACAAAGAATTTCCTTGTGCAAGGGACTTGGGAGAGCTGGGTTGAATTCCTAGCGCTCATGCTGACCTATGACCTCGGACGCTGTTCCCAACCTAGACTGTGGGTGACGCTTCCCCTGTGAGAGCGGGTGTTGAAGACTGTAAATGTCACTCGCTACCTGTGAGTAGCTCGTTGGTGTCCTACGCTGGCTATCTCCAGCCCATGTGTTGGAGCTCCTCTGCTGGCAAAACAGCCTAGTAGTTAAAGCAAAGACTCTCCTGGCTCAGCCACTTACTCACTTTGAGACCTTTGGCAAGTCACTTAGCCTCTCTTTGGTGTATCCCCACTTACAGAATGGAGCCCTACATCCCAGAGGGGCTGGGGGCAAACTGATGGCTGCAAAGCACTAGAGGCCCTTGGCTGGAAGGTGCAGGGGGAATGTGGTTAGTACAGAGCCCTGGGGCTGAATGGCGGGTCGGCTGGCTCTCGTCTAGCTCCAAGGAGCCTGCATTCCAAACCCTTGCTTCATACTCGGTGACTCCTCTCCTGTCCCCTTCTTCCTCCCATGCACTGTGTCTTCAGCCTAGGCCAGTGGGTGCAGTACTGACTCTGAGCAGTGGCAACCACGTTAACAGCCAATGCTATCGGCCGCAGAATCTGTTTTCCTTGGTCTCATCCATGCAGTCACCAGGCCCTGCCCTGCATAGCTTAAGAAATCTGACCGGCCAGGGTGGCATGACGACAGGGAGCCTAGAGCTGTCTGGCTTGGTGATGGAGTCCCCCGCAGGAGGAGTAACATTGGCACCCATGCGTCTGACGAAGTGGGTATTCACCCACGAAAGCTTAGGCTCCAATACATCGGTTAGTCTTAAAGGTGCCACAGGACTCTCTGTTGCTTTTTACAGATACAGACTAACACCGCTACCCCTCTGATACTTGGCACCCAAGTCTTTCAAAGCTATCCAATTGCTGTCTTTCAGGGTGGGAGAGAGGATACCCATGTCCTGCTCCCTGGATCGCCTTTACCTGACGGCTATTCACTGGAACTCTCCACTTGAAAATGTGGCAAACTTTAGTGCTGGTCCCAGCCCTGTTCCCAAGAGAATTGTAGTGGTATCATGTCCAGTGCATCCTCAAGTGCAAGGTGACAAGGTGTCCCTTTGTCCAGGGTGTGAAGCCCCTGCTGTCATAGAGACCCAGTCCCCAAACCTGGTCTTCGTCAAGCTAGAGCGTTGCGTTGTTCCCATGGCATTTCAGAGTCTTTCCCCTAACCTTGTGTGGTGCTGTTTCAGAATATCTCGCACGTAAAGAGAGCTGTTGGTCTCTAAATGCCAGAATAGCACTAGCAAGTCAGCGCTTTTTACGATTCGTACTTACCATGACCAGATCCTGAGTCTGTTCTGTGTTGCTACTTTGCAGAGTAACCGTGTGGGCCACGATTTCAGGGGGCCCCTATTTGGTGGTGCTGCAGTTGGTGTCTGTGCAGTGCATTGTCTTCAGAACAAGTCGTATGTTTCAGATGGGGTTGATGACTGATTTCTCAAGGGTTTTTGCCCAGCCATCCTCTGACCGGCTTCTGGCAAACTTCTCCCACTACCTCTCAAGCTGCCTTGTTACAATCTGATCGTGTATTTAAACATTTAGTTGTCCTTGGACTGTAAGTTTACAAAAAAAACATTTTTTTTCCTGGCCTTTCTTTTGTACAAGAGCATCTGTAGTCAGGTCCTCCTCTAACTCCCTGCTACGTACCGTTGGAGAAAATACTTTGGCATTAAAAGGGGCACTTGGAACATCTGTCGCCCACAGCAGCCACGAGGAAGCAGGAGGTTAAGATCCGCTAAGTGGAGACAAGGGTTAAGAGTCTGTGTGTGGAAGGTGCAGTTGGGAAGATCCTACAGACCATATGGTGACACTATGGCTATGTTTACACCACAACCTGTGTCAGCAAAACTTCTATCACTCAGGGGTGTGACTGTGGCCCTCCCCGCCCCCCCCCGAGCGATGTAAGTTTCACCGACATAAGCGTTCGTGTGCATGCCTCCATATCGGCGGGAGAGCTTCTGCCGCTTCATGCAGCGGCATGTGCGTATAGACATGGCCTTATTCCTAGAGCCAGTTGTGAAGCACTGGGGAGAGCCTTCTGCGTGAGGGGCCTTGGAAATGCCCAGTATTCAATGCCCCTGCTTGCGGAGATGGGTTCTGTCTGTGAGCATTAGGGAAAGGGGTGCCGGAGCTGGAATGAGCTTCCTTCACTCTGGGTAGGAGGAATTAACTGGTCTGTACGCTGAGCCTGTAATAGGGTCTCTTGCTGACATCCCTTCCTGGAGAACTTGTCCGTTAGGAACACTTTCGATGCAAAAACAGCCTCTGTTTCTCTGAGTTGGCAAGTGGATTGAAGTTCATCCAATAATCTAGATCCAGTTGCTAAGAGGGGTCCTCCCTCTAGCCAGCCTTTATGCTGGGCTGTCCCCTAGCTCTGGTTGCGGGTACCAAGTAGAATGCCCATATCCCACTGCCCACCTCTGCTCGGCTGCAGGCGTGAGGAATATATTCCCTGGGTGGTCGCGTTCAGAGCTGCACACTGATCGCCAAGGGGAAGCGGGGAGTGTTTGCTGAGCGAGAGCGAAGATTCATTCTCTTCCTGTACTGAGCTCAGATTGACCCTGACACTTGAGACGGAGCTGGAATTCGGATACTTGCACGTTGGTCCTGGGAAAAAAAACAAAACAAAACCCCCAGTCCTTGGATGGAGCGCTGCTGGGACTGCTTAGGGGAGGTGGGAGGGAGCGGTTGCTCCAGGAGGCTCTTCCAGCCAAGCCTGATTAATCTTTTCTCTTCTTCCTCCCTTCCACTTCTCCTAAAACGTGGCCTTCCAGGAGGCCACTGGGGTGGGAGCAGCGCTAAGGGAGGCTGCACCTGCACTGCGTGGGCTGCGTCGACTCTTATTAACCTTCCTGAAAGGAAGCTGTGGCCAGTAATAGAAGACCGCCAGCAGTCTAAGGAGTGGGGCTGTCTATCCAGGGCTGCTTTTATAGGGAATCCTAGCTGCAAAGACCAGGCTTGGGCCGGAGCCACGGCAAATCCGGCGCTGCTCTCCCGGTTCAGGCTCACGCAGGCTGTTTGGAAGGCTTTGATGAAGTCAGTGGGACGCACAGTGATTGGCCAGCCCCCGCTCACCTGGTTATTCCAGGCTTGGTAGCTGCAAGGGGTCTTGAGCTGCGGCTCTTAAATTTGGCTGCAGTTTACAAGCTGTGTGGAGCTTGGACCTACTGTCTCCCTGTAATGCTCCTGCCCGTCTGGGGCAGGGCCCGGCTTCCCACGTTCTGGACCGTGCCAAGCCCAGTGGGCCCTGATCCTTGGCTGAGCTCTGAGTCACAAGTCCTTCTCTGAGGAGCAGGGAAGGCGAGGTCTGCCTGTTTTCAGACAATGCCAAGGCTCAGGCTTGGCCAAGGGCTAGAAATGTTAGATGAGGTTATAGCGGGTGTGGTCCTTGCTTAGCCCCCCTGGGCAATGGGGCAACAGAACTGCCTGGCACCGCCGGCACATCCCGTGAAAAAGGCGTTCAGGCAGGTGCTCAAGGGGGAGTCAGTCTCTGAGCAGCAAGTGAGCGAGAGTCCCTCCCCCTTCTCCCCAGCATTGCAGGGAAGGGTGGCATGTAAATTGTGAGATCTTCTTGGGCCCCGTAAATAGGGATGCAACTGAACTTCTTTTTTGCGTGCGCTGTCCAAGCCTATGGAGGCAGCACCGGCCGAAAGCTTTGGGATGGGCCCCGTGTAACCATCTCTGGGGGCTACAAGCGAGTCCGCCTCGCCCCGCTGAACTCCGTGGCATGTGACGCTGTCTCGTTTCTCTTGTCTTCCTCCTAGACCGTGGAACATGGGTTCCCCAACCAGCCGAGCTCTCTGGCCTACGACCCCAAGCTGCGAATTATGGCCGTTGGCACCAAATCGGGAGCTGTGAAAGTGTATCCTTTCCAGGACTCTCTGGAGAAGGGCGGAAGGTAGGGTCACCTCCTGCCAGCTGGGGGGCAAACTCGCTGTAGCTACAAATGGGCCTGATGTGGCCGCTGCACATGGCTCCGGTGTTGTGTTGGTCTCATTCGAACTCTTTGGCTAACTGTAGACACTGGCTTGGTCTTCTCTGTTCACCTTGGTAGGTGCTAGCTAAGCATTTCGTATGGTGTCTCAAGATACCTTGCAGGCCAAACAGCTGGGACCTGCGGGGGGTGATCCAGCCTTGACTTGGTAGAAGCATTCCTTACTGGCTCAGGAAGGTGTTGGGACCACTCTACGCGAGGGCTGTATTTCAGCTCAGCCCACTGCGGTTCCGGGATTAATATGGCAGCTGATCTCGATTCAGTAGCTCATCTGCGGCTTTGAAAACTGGAACCTCTGGCTGAGAGCCTGTAGTGTTGGTCGGGAAAGTGGGGTTTCTTCTGAAATAGCCTCGAGTATTGTGAGCTTCCCAGCGGATGTCCTGGGTCTCGGACCCTGGCTGACTGCATTGTCCAGATGAGAGTGAAAATTCAGGCTTACAGCATGGAACTCTGAGTTACTTGTCTCTGCAAAATCTCACAGCAATGATCGCAACCAAGCTTAAGACCTGGATTAACTGCTTCACTTCGGTGCCCACCCAGGGCCGAAGGCTGCAGAGCCCTCTTGGAAGCAAGGCTAGGCTGTGTCGTGAGCATTGTAACCCACTGCGAATGGGTGGGTTCTTGCTGTGCACGCGAGTTTGCTAGTACCCGGCTTCTTGTGGGTGTGGGTTGTTTATACGCATCTAAAACTTGGAAAACAAGCGTGCCGTTCTGTTCCCACCTTTTTTGGCAGGCGAGAGTGGAGGGGACGGAGGTAGAGCAGAGTGGCTCGAGGTGGGTGGGAGGACAGCCAGCATCTGGGAAAGGTGTATGTGTGGAGGGGGTGTATGTAGATCTTAACCTACTACCTCTCCAGTTGCCCACATTGGAGGTAGTGGTAGTGGTTGGAGCACAGAACTGGAGCCCAGGACCTCTTAGTTCTGATCCCTTCTGTTCATGGGTCCTCGCTTGTGCCTCTAGTTTTCCCCATCTGTTAAGCAAGGATGATGGTGTTTACCTGCTTCCCAGGGGTGTTGTTCCGTAAGGGTTAGTCACCACGCCTTGGGGATGGGAAGTGAAGTCACGGCTGCATGGGCCAAGTTTGAGGGTGGGGTGGGGGAGGGGAAGGCTGCTTGTGCTCCAGATAGGGTGGGCGGGTGGGAGCGCCCGCCCTCTCCCTGCATGGGTGTTGCTGCAAATAGGTCTTGCCAAGATTCCAGCCTCTGCACTCAGCTGTCTGTGCAGAGCAGTGACTCAGAGTTGATCCTCCAGCTCTCAGTAGGAGCATGGCTTTTTCCTCTTCTAGCATGTTTCCTACTCCGTGCCTAGCAACCGGCCCTCTGGTAAATAGCTGAATGGCCGTGTATGGGCCTTGGCTTGGCAAAGTGGTCATAGAAACCAGCTTGTGAGTAGGGGCAGACGTGGAGACAGTGACCAAACGGCAGCCTCGCGTCTGATGCCAGCGAGCCTTGCCATCCTGTGCTCTCCTCCTGCCTCCAACCGTGGTGGCAGTGGCTTTCCTGCCATGGTGCTACTTTCTGCCCTTAATGGACAGGGTAAAACTGTGCCCATGTGAGCCAAAGGGGCAACCTCATTGAAGCTCTTGGATTTCCTTCAAGTGTGGCAAACCAAACGCCTCTCTGCGACCCCTCACTTCAAGCACAAGCCTGCCCTGTTAGCATAACCTGGTTATAGCTTTCCCTGGGCATCGGGGATCTCTCCATGGAGAACTGAATCCGGGGGGTGTGTGTGTGTGTTCTCCAAACTCCTCATTCCCAAGGGGTGGGGAAGGAAACAGCTGAACTTGCTCAATCTTCCAAAAATACGGCATCTGACTTATGAATGGAGTCCACCTCCGCTCTAAGTAGACGTGGTGTCATCGCTCGCCGTGGAGCGGTGCCCAGGGGAAACGGCAGATCAGGCACTCAAAACTGACATTCCTGGATCCCACTGGAGAAGGAGCAGATGTGTCTGTTTCTTCCTCCTCCTCCTCCAACAAACCTTCAGTCCAGGGGGTTATTTAAGGAGCACAAATTGCAGGCTGAGGATGGCAAATTGCAGAGGTGGTTGGGGAGAGCAAGGCTGGTGGGGACACACTGGGCCAGCTGCCAGCTGGGGTGCCAGGTACTTGGTGTTTAAAGCTCCTTGCCCAGTGTTTGTCTTTTTGTTCTTCCACCTCTGCAAACAATCGGTGGGGAAGGCGAACCTGAAATGGGGACCACTAGCCCGCCAAGTGGGCCCTCTCCCCCGGACAAATAGGGCAGAGTTATTAGACAGCAAGGTCTGGTGGATAAGGTACTGAGCTGGAGATCTGGGTTCTACATAGATTGGCAGGACTTCGGGGGCAGGAACTGTGGGTGTTTTTTGTGTGTGTGTGTGTGTGTGTGTGTGTTCTGTTTGTACAGGGCCTAGCACAGTGGGGTGCTGACCCATGGCGGGCTCATAAGTGCTACGTTGATACAAATAATAAATGTGTCCATGCATGGAGTGCACAAGTCTGTGTCCAATTAGGAGCTGGATTTCTCTCTGAAAAAATAATACACGTACATCCAGCTTAAACTGCAATCAGTTAAATGCTGAGGCCCACCCGATTCTTGTGCATCACGCAGGGCTCGGACAACACTTCTTAGCAAATACCCTGTTTTTTTTTTTTTTTCTCCAGTGCAGAGGAAAGACTCCTCTCTAGAGGCAAGACATGGGCCCAAACCACAGCCTTAGAAATGGGGTATCTGCATGCGGTCTACCAGCACATCTCTCGCAGGGATGCCGCTATGCAGAGGAGGGACGCCCTGGACAGCAGCCTAGTGACTTAGGCTGGCGTTTTCAGGGAATTAGGATGCAGTCTTACAGGGACCCTTTGGGGAAGGGCCTTTCCCAGCTCCGAGGCTAACTGGCTGCCCCTGAATCAAGCGTCTGTTTTGAGCCGTTGTGGGCGGGGGGGGGGGCGGGGAGCTGACCCATTGTATCCAGGGCATCCTTGACCAGTCTGCTGCACGTAGCCAAAGCCCCTCAGAGGAGAGGGGAGCTGGCAAGTTCTGCGAGGCCTGGCAGAGAGCGTCCTTTGTTGCTTGCTGTGTGGAGGGACTTCAGAGGGCTTTCTGGCTGCAGGCCAGGAATCAATTTGTCCCAGGGGTTTTGAGGCCCTGTTCTCCGGGTCCCGCTCCACAGGAATGCGAGGGGGTGTTAGTCGGAAATCAGTCGGACGTGCCGGACAGGACAAGGTGCAGAGCTGGCCCTTCCCTGGCCTGTCCTAGCCGTAGAATCTCCTCCCGGCGCCACTGCAGCCTCTCTGCACGGGAGGGGGTAGGAAATCGAAGACCCAGTCGCTGTGTGCGCACCCGAGAGGAGCTCCCTTTATTCAGCGTCCTAGCACAAAGCTGGCATTTCTTTCCATTGTGCACCAGGCCTGAATGTCTGCCCAGCTGCGATGTCGCTGGCCACGCAGCCAGAAGATGGCTCTGTTTGTCCCCGGAGTGGAGAGCTTAGTTGACAGGCACAACAGACTGTGTGTGTGTGTGTGTGTGTGTGTGTGTGTGTGTGTTGGCACCAATACGTTGCCCTGGCAACTCGACCCCCTCCCAGGTCCCAGTTGTACAAAACTGATCTAGGAGCACAGATGCTCCTTGGGGCAGGGACCGTCTCTATTCTATGCTGTGCATCCCTACGGGGTGACGTGCAGTAACAGTACGAATAACTAGGCAGGGGCGGCCTCAGTGCCTTTTCCTCTCGCTCCATCCTGGTTAGGGTTAGCAGCATAAAAGGTCCTCTCTTCACCGCCACAGCAAAGCCACCGTTGCCAGGTCACGTAGCCTGTATCTGAAGCTATTGCTTTCGACAGGGCTGGCTAGAGCCGCTTTAGCATCGGCTGGGTGGATTGTACCCAGCAAGGAATCGCCTCAGTTGGGTAAGACTGAACGTCTGCCGGTGGCAGTGGATAACTTAGACAAAGTGAGCGGCTTCCCATTCCCCTTGCTCCCAATCTCCAAGCCCACTTCCAAGAGCTCAGTCCAGGAGGGTCAGCGCCTGCTAGCTCAGAGCAACGGGTGGAAGCAACGTCCTAACTAACCGCCGGCTGCACCAACTGTTTCTTTCCCTTTTTGTTTTAAACCTGCTGCTTATCAATTGAATTGGGACCCCTGGTTCTTGTGTTATGTGAAGGGGTAGAGAACGCTTCCCTGTTTGCTTTCTCCACACCAGTCATGATTTTATAGACGTCTATCCTCTTCCCTCCCTCCTCTCCCCACCCCCCCAGCTGTCTCTGTTCCAGCTGAGGCTCTTCAGTCTCTCCTATGGAAGCTGTTCCATCCCCCTGATCATTTTTGTTGCCCTTCTCGGTACCTTTGCCAATTGTGAGATCTTCTTTGAGATGGCGTGACCAAGTCTGCATGCAGTATTCAAAGCATCAGTGTCCCATGGATTTATATAGTGGCGTTTTATTTACGGTCTTATCTACTATCCCTTTCCTAATGGTTCCTAACATGGTTAGCTTTTCTTTCTTTTTTTTTTTTGACTGCCACTGTACATTGACCAGATGTTTTCAGAGAACTATCCACAATGACTCAAAGTTCTTTCTCGTGTGGTAACAACTGATTGAGACTCCATTTTGTATGTATCGTTTTTGGGGGAAAAAAAAATCCCACGTGCGTTGCTTTGCCATTAGCAACAGTCAATTTCATCTGCCATTTTGTTGCCCAGTCACCCAGTTTTGAGAGATCTCTTTTGTAACGCCTCGCGGTCAGCTTTGGACTTATAAAATTACTCAAGATAGTTCTCCTCTGCTAACTTCACCACCTCACGGTCTGCCCCCCTTTCCAGATCATTTATGAATGTTGACCAGCACTGGTCCCAGTACAGATCCTTGGGGGATGCCGCTATTTACCTCTCCACTG